TTTGGAGGTTTCACATCAGCAAATCAGTATCATAGTAAACCAACAGATCATTACATTAAAGAAAAACCGACAAGCATCAGAACAGCCATTATGGAAATTAACTCAGACAGGAATATAATCCTTGAATGGAGATGGATCTGTCAAAGAATCCTTCCTGCCAAGTCCAAATTATATTTCTAAATTTAGATCTTCCCAAGAAGTGTTACAGTAATCTTTCAAAAGGGAGATAATCCATAATTATCCCTTCTCAAGTTGCATTCCCAAAGGCAGTTAAAACTAGAAATGGTATGCTTAGGGAATTTCATCAAGATGCTGTAGTTATTAGCAGACCGAGACCCATTACCCTCAGCAAGTTAAGATGCTTGAGATGTTGTCACCAGGTCTAACATCTAATGGTTTTAACATGATTGCTAACCACTAATGGCAGTGCTTGTTCATATTCCCACTTATTCAATCTCCAAAAACAGGAAGAACTCTTTTGCTGAGAGGTGTATTGAAAGAAATATTCTGATTGCAGTTAGCGACAATATTGTTAACCTTCAGTAATGGAGGCTGAACATGCGGAGTGTGATAAGTGTGCGAATTTGAAGTGGCATATACTGATTACCTACCTACTTGTTACATGGCTGATGGGGTTTTGTAATGAGAGGAGGGGTGAAGTTAAAACCATGTGTTCGGAAGGGTACTTCGATTGCCTTGTAAACCCAATGATTCTAACATTTTTGTAACATTGATTTTTTTAAATAGATGTTTAGTTCAAACCATGTGTACTTTGATTGCCTATAAACGCAATGATTCATGCACTTTTGGAACACTGATATTCCATCTTTTTACTAATCCATTTTGAGTTATGCCTGTAGTGGTTTCCATTTATAACACTTACCCAGATAACATTCAGACGCTGCCCAACGTCCGAATGCTATCTGGGTATGTTCTCAAGCCACTGTCACTGTGTGTATCAATTCACATTTGATCAAGGGCAGTGGGTAGCCTAGTGGTTAAAGCATTCACTTGTCAAGCCAATACCTGGGTTCAATTCCCCATGTGGGTACAATGTTTGAAGCCCGTTTCTGGTGTCACCCACTATGATTGCTGGAAAATTGCTAAATGGGGCTTTAAACCTTACTTCTCACATTTAATCTAAGAACAACCATTTGATTGTTTTGTGGTGCCTGGGATATGTTTGAAAGAAATTACTTAATTGCAAAGAAAATATTTTGGTCATTGAACGTGTGTATCTCTTGTAAAAAAGCATGGCAACTGTGTTTTGAATTTTATAAAAGAAATTGTCAGCTCACTGAGAAACAAACAAAGCGACAAAAAATGTAAAGTATCAAACATCCCAAGGTCTCCCTACTTAAAAGATACAGCAGTATGTGTGGCATAGTGTGGAGTAGATTATCCTACAGGATTGAGTGCTTTTAACTTCTCCTACATCTCTATTCAAGATCCATTTTGCAGTTGCATATCTCACAAGATGTAATTTAAAAAAAAAGTAAACTTGTATCAATTTATATGAAATGAGAAAATTTAAATTAAATTCATTTTATTGTTTGCTGATTGAAAATGGAGATCAAACAGGAGGAGTGAGATTTTCCTGTTTCTTGACTTTGAAAATGAATTATCTTTGGTTAGATATGCTTTTGAAATCTTTCAGAGATATTAGAGAGATATCTTTTGAATATTTTAGGCTTATCTATCTTTTCTAAATAATTTGACCTTTTTCAAGAAATATACATTCTGTCATATAAGCCAGTGTCCCAGTTGAAAGAAAATGTTTAAAATTTATAATCTTTCAAGAGAGATGAATTGTATATTGTGCGGCAATTTCCAAAATGTTGTACCATATTCACTGTATTAATCACCCTGCTCCAATCAGCACCCTCTAAACCAGAGTGTAAGTAATCTTTATATATGCTCCTAGAGTGACCAAACGTTTACATGATCATTCATATTTTCATATGTATACATGTCTTACAATTATTTTACAGAAGGGGTATGTATATGTCAGGGTAGAGACTGCGATCTGGTAGAATCGGAGATTCTACCAGTAGAGATTGCGATCGGAGTCTCTACCAGTAGAGATTGCGATCGGAGTCTCTACTGGTAGAATCTCCGATCCTACTAGTAGAGATTGCAATCGTAGTCTCTACTGGTAGAGACTACGACTATATGGAATAACCTCTGCAAGCAAGTGCAAGCTTATGCAAGCAAGTATAATAAGTGGGGGTATTTTGTTTTTGTTTTTTGAGTGGAGTCCAAATTTGGCAGGTTGGTCTCATGATGTAAATACAGTGTGACAAACCATCGCAATCTCTACTGGTAGAATCTCCGATTCTACCAGATCGCAGTCTCTGCCCTGACATATATATTGAACTTCTATCAAAAAGTTTGTTTTATTGACATTTCTACTAATTATTGCGTGACTGCAAAAATAAAATGTTATTCATGTCAGTACGTTTTTGATAAATGCCCTCTGTCAATGTTGAAAGTGCCATGGCCTTATTACTGTGAGTACAGTAATCCCTCTAGTCCAATGGATGCCTTAAATATTCCAATATTTTATAATAGAACCATGAAGTTTCATATAATGATATTGATTGAGGTGACTGGATTGACAACAGTTGTGCATATTTCAACATTTCAAGACAATGTGATATATTCATGAAATAAGATGCATTGTGGGAGTGAGATATGATAGGTGACATAATGAACTACTCAGAATGAGGCTTTCAACTCTGACCTCATGGCCTTGACACATGAGTAGATAAAAGTGTCCAGTTGAAACTAATGATAAGACCAGACTTCTTACTTCATTGTTTACAGATTCTTTTGTGGTAATCCCAGATGGATGGAAGATTGAGAACCTAAACAAAACCCACAAATTTTAGCATCATCTGGAATACAAAGTCACAAAATAGTCTTTTTTCCATTAATTTCTTTAAGGTCAAACACGTTATATTTTGGGTTGCACTTTCTCAGTAAAATACAGATTCTCATACTTTTGTTGGGTTGAGTCCCATCCGGATTCGAACCCTCAATCTAAGAGCCAGGCACCTATTCTGCAGCACATCTAACCGTGTTTTTGCTGAGAAAGTGTTATCCCAAACATAACATTTGTTACATTTGACCACTTTTTAAATGGCATTGTGTGTTCAAGGTGCTACACAATTTTATTTTTCCCCTTTCTAATTATTCTGGGTTGGACAAAATTTCAGGTTTACCACTTTTTTATGGTCAAGAGAATCAGTAAACTGGTTAAAGCTAAAAGTCTGGCCAGAAGATGAGGCCTAGAATCAGCACCATTGTGATGTGCAAGTATACAACCAGTTTGTGAAATGTAAATGAACAAGTCCAATTTCAAACAACAGTTAGAAGAAAACTATTTACATGGAAAACAATAAAAAATGACTTGAATGTTTCTTTCATGGTAACATGAGCTGGGGGAAAGATTTAAATGTTATGTCAAGCTATAGATTTTTACGAAGTGCTGTTTTATTCATTGAACTTTATATGGGTGCAATGCTCTGGGGATATTTCTGCCCAGGTCTCGATAACTGTAATTAGTTCAGTGACTTTATAATGGAGGCAATGTAATTAATGTAATCATTACCTGCCAGAAATATACTACTAAAAATAAATGAAGGATCACCTGACTCTTGACAAATGAGCTGTGGTAATATGAAAGAATTGGTGGTCCTTAATTTATTTATGAGTATATGTCATAAAATTTGAACTTGCTGGCGTACAAGGTGCACTTGGATTGAGTTTTCTTGATCTGCCAAATATAAATAGCATGCTCCCTTTCAACATCGTCAAACAGTTGGTGCTTTCTATTTATTTGAGGTTTGGAATGATTTGGTGTATGTATACTACTCAAAAAAGGTTAAGAAACAGCCATAATTGGAAGGCTTGTGATGCACTGATCACAAACCATGACATAATAAATATATAGAGAATACTAAACGATGTTCAGTGTAATACCATATTTATCAAACGATGGAATGGTTTGGTATCTAACTCACTTTCGCTTGTTAAATACCAAACCATTCACTTGTGTCATAAATATGGTATAACATGGGACATCGTTTAGTATTTTATTTATTACTCACCCAACATTAGCAAAATAATATCTCAAAATTCATCTTACAGAACAAGTGCATTACGCTGTCTTAAACCATGGCTCCTTTGTTTCAGACCAGGGTTTAACTGACCGCCAAACCAGTTAAACCCTGGGTCGGAACTACTTTCCAAACAACAAACTAGGAATTTGCAATAAAATTTTATTCGGGATAATTGACATTTTCGCGATTTTTTTTTCACTTGAAGTGGATATTGAGGGAGATATTAACAAGAGGTGAACACTGCCGGAGCAGTCACTGTAAACGATGGAGTTAACATGTCGATTGTAACAGTTTTCGGACATTTTGCCGGGACACCCTGCACAAGTATTCTCAAGGCACTCAAAGGTACTGGCTATATCTTCACCACTGCTTGAATTCATCATAACGTACATATCCAGTCCTATTTATGAAGATGGAGGCGATGGCACTGTCAAATACGTGTGCGTCCATACTGTACATGTGCTCTGACCAAAGTGGCGATATGCATACGCGTGCCTTGAGGTATTCAGAAAACAAATAATCACTCATATCAAATGGCCGGAGCGAAACCAATAGCAGCCCAAAACAGGAATAATTAATCGTTAAGAATTTGAAGTAGTTTGAAATGCACGTGCAGGTCATGCAACACATGCTAGCCAGCGTCTGACATCAGTGACTTCGATGGGAAAGCCTGTTCACAACCATGAACACAAAACATACCTACACACAAAATGCAGATCGCTGTTTTAACTTAAAGTTACAGAATAACCGATGAAGTTAAAACCATCTAAAGATGGCCGTGGTTTAAATAGGCTAGACCACTCGGCCCCCGTGTTTAACCGTTGAAATGCTGAGTTAAATCCTCAGGGTTAAACGGTTAAACACGGGGCCCTGAGTGCAAATAGTTCTGACAGTACGCAATGTTATTACACCATGTGTAATAACAATGTAGATTTATTAAACAGTAATATCTTCAAGGGTGAGTAATAACGTTGTATAAAACTCTGGTGTGTTCCCTAACTTCTTTTGGGTAGTATAGATTAATCTATGATAAATAATGTGACAATGATAAATATCTGAAAACCTAAACCAATTTACAAAAGTTATTTGATTATAAATGGTTATGATCAAACATTAATTATGAACTCTCGTAATGCTGTGTTGATCTCTGTAGATCCATTCTGTGATAATCCATAGACAAAATGATTCCATTAAAACATGAATATTAAATCCATTCAGATGGAAACACAGTGTGGTACACGGTAGGGTAGTGAGCTCAACTGGGAGTGACAAACAACAGTCGGTTCCTATACAGTGTAATCCTTCAGGCTTATTTGGTCGTCCAATGAGTTTGTTTGCGTGAGCTGTGGTATTGGGTGGTGCTCCAGCACAAGGGAGTGGTGATGCGTACGCATAGCTTGAAGATGAGGATGTCGATGATGATGGTGATGATGACTTGAGCTCCGTTCAGTTTGGGACTGAGATCGATGGCTCCCTGAGTGATGAGTCACGTGATTACGATTCCCGTTACACAACGGATCTGTTGCAGGGCGATATTTCCGCTCCTGCAAATGGTCACGCCCTGAACCATCGTCGAACACGTGAACGTGAACTTTATGTTCGGATGTCAGCTCTTCGTCATGTTCATGCCCTGGCATTGTCGTGTCGCTCATTTCGTAATGATCTTCCGGAAAATGAGATGACATGCTGTCATATTTACTCGAGTCTGAAGCGACTTGTCGCTGTTGCCGAATAAGCGAAGGACATCGGGACAGAAGCACAATCAACACAATGATTGACAAAGCTAAGATTGCTCCAATACTACTGCCAATCGAGACAGGAATATGCCAACTCGTCGTATTCGCTGGTCCACACACTGTCGTAATGGGAGGTTGTATCATTACGATACAGCACAACACACACCTTATAGTAAGTATCGGCAACCAAGTTACGTAATATTATATCCCGTAGAAGAAGCAGGGAGCATGTTGCTGTATTGAACGTATGTACTAGCCACCTTCTGGTAGTGCACCTGAAATCTTTGAATGTATGGTACGGCAGTCTCTTCCAGCGTCCATTTTAAATAGATAGATGATGCTGTTGAAGAATCGACTTCGGGATGAAACTCATCAAACAGTTTATCTGTGTCTGATGCCATGGTGCTATCTGTTCCTCCCTGAACGTACATAGGAACACTCCTTGGTAGGCAGTCGTGGTGGAGCAGACGTGAACTGTAGATCTGGAAACTCGTTACTCTGCAAAAATACAAATGTCAAATTAGATGTTTGTTTTGCCGTTTTTGTTTGTTGTTTAACCATATTGCATTAGCTTGTATATAATTCTGGACCAGGCAATCCTGTGATTGATATTGTGGAATTGATCGTTGTCAAAGTTAAGACATCACAGGTACACCTGTATACTGGTTTATTATGTAAGCATATTTTACCAGCTACCTGCTTGCTCTAGAGGCAGTCACGTGACCGTCAACAGAGAAGCATATTGAATCCAACCCAAGTCCGACCAAAAGTCATATTGACTTGAGTTACTAAAAATAGAATTTGACGTCAAGCTATGACGTCATTCTATTGTTTACATGTCATAGTATTGTTGACGTAACATTAATGGTTTATAGTGAAAATATCATTATTTTCTTGACTAAATGGACATGTTTTTGTTTTTAGAAGATTTCTTTTTCGAAATTACATAATAAAACAATTATGGACTGGTGAATTTGGTCAATACCTGTTTTTATGGACCTGCGAAAAGCAATGTTGACCTCGGACTTCGTCCTCGATCAATATTGCTTCACCAGTCTATAATTGTATGGTATCGCAATACATAATTCAAACGATATGTATTGCAGTATTTGTTTATAATATTGTAATATTAAGTTTAAAGTTCTTTAAGTTAAAAATCTACAGATACTTTCATTCACAACTGATGTTGACAAAACAGCATAATTTATACACAATAAATTGTATAAAAAAGAAAGAAAGAATCCTTATTTATCCAACCTTATTTTGAGATTGCTGTTATCAGAACATATATTGTTTGGACCTTCTGGATGTGCAGCCAGTGTTACTGTCAAACACTGGAGGTCCAAATGTATCCCAATATGGACAGCAATGTATTGCAATACAATAAAATTTACCAATACAATAAAGGAATCAATGAAAACTCAACAACCAAACCACCGATCCCAAACAAGCATAGCTTCTTGTGGACCATGAGTCACCAAGGGAAGGTTGTATTGGAATACATTAACAGACTCAGCAAAGGATGCTTCAGCGACCTACCAAAGTACGGGAATATGTCGAAACTATAAATGGAACTAGGCAACCACAGTACAAAGACACTGTCCCCATAAAGTTATCATAATGATAAGAACTTTCTCATAATCTTAATCCGTTTACATGATGGAGAAAAAGACCTGGGCCCTGATCCCCAAAGTGTTCGTAGAGCTATGACATTTGTAAGTCTATGATAAATTGTAGAGTTACGACAGGTCGTAACATTATGAATGCTTTGTGGACCCTGTATTTTATAACACAACTTATTTCGATCCATTACACAAGACATTTCTTCAAGGTACGTCTGTATGTCTTGTCTGTGCTGGAGCTAGGCGCCAGATCGTTACATCTGTGTGATTTACTGTGTTTGGTTCTACTAAATGGGCTGGGTGCTCATCATTACAATGCTGACTTATGGGTATTGGCTAATGTGTGTGGCTATCTCTATTAAACGTGTGTATGCATTCCATACTGTTGTAGCTCTGCTGGTTTTCTTTGATAAGTCTGGCATTGGTTTTTTAATTCCAGCCACAAGAATACTTGAGTTCACATTTACCATATCTCAACCATGTAGCGACTGTCAGAAAGACTGTCCATTCACACATAACCTGGGCCTAGATTTTCGAGGCTCTCTTAGTGCTAAGATAGTCGTAAGTTAGTGTTAATGTATGGCACATACGACTATCTTAGCGCTAATAGAGCGTCGAAAATCTAGGCCCTGAACAGTAAAGTAGGGTAAATTTATTGTAACAGAGTAGGGTAAATTTACTGTCACAGTGAAAGGTAAATTTACTGTCACAGAGTAGGGTAAATTTACTGTAACAGTGAAAGGTAAATTTACCGGTACTGTCACAGAGTAGGGTAAATTTCATGTCACAGTGTACGGTAAAATTACTGTAACTAGGGTAAATTTCATTTAAACAAATAATTAACAGAGAATATCACTCAATTCATTGTCGCTATCCAACATATCTACACGAATCAATACAAGTTTAAAATTCCTAGGTTAAGGTTCTATTTATAAAAGTACTGCAAACCTGCTTCAGCAGCAGAGATAATAATGATGTCATTTGATTGTGACATCACAGTAACTGATCACAATATAATGGTCTGTAGAGAACTGTAGTGCAATTTCATTTCAATGATATCTCCCAGGTACTAGTATTACTGAAGGATATCTCCTGTAAAGACCAGCTTTTGGATTAAAATACCTTGTCTAGATTACAGTATGAGTTCCATTGGCTAGAGTTGCTCCAAGGCTGTACTGAAGACTAAGATGTAATATAATTCTATGCTTTAAAGAGGCAATTATAGATAACCGGACAGTACAAGGAGGCCAGTCTGTTAGAGGGATATTTAATTTTTTTAGAAATTATCATTTAACTATTAACTATTACCTTAAAGACTTGTGCAAGTCAATCCATTGACCTACAATGCAGTTTACCCTAGATTTAAGCCATGAACTGCTTAACATTTGCCAGTTCACCTTGGGCTCCTGAACATTAATTCCTAAAAAATGATTTGCTTGCAATTTAACCCTCAGGGTATTGTTAGTCATCTCAATGATTATATTTAGATTCCTGCAGTAGGACAAAGCCCTGATTAATCTTCACAATAGGCTTATCAAAGAAAAAAGGTTATATAATTTGATACATTTAATGGTAATGTAATCTGTGTCTCCTACCTCTCTGAGAGTGAAGTTAGAAGCTTAGTATCACAGCACAGATTGCACTTACACCTAAACCTTCACAGACACCATGGGAATTCAGTGTCCCAAATATGAAAAGATTCTGGCTGGCAAGATTCTAGTGACACTGGTGACAGATAGCTAACTTCAGCACTCACTAACCCCACCCTAACCCTGGAATGGCATCTAGTCAAATCATATTACCTGAATATATAGATAATCTTTTTCCTCATTGTTAAAATTTAGGGGGGATACAAACGGAAGTCACTCACTCACTCACTCTACCACCCAAATGTCACACATACCTCTTATCCTGTACAAAAGGAGCATGATGGCAAACATGTCACATGTGTGATCTGTGACCGACTCTCACGTCACATGGACATACATCTGCAATCTGTGACAGATGGTGAACCTTTCCATGCTTCCAGCAGCATCCACAGCTAAATAGCAATACCTATACTCTGTGCCTCATTATGGCAGCACAGTGAAATTTAAGCCTTCAGGCAACTTTATAGCATTTCGGGCTGGCCCTGTCTAGTTCACTTTTGAAAGTATTTCCACATTCAACCTCCAGCCAATCTCAAACAGTGTGGCCAGCCTCAAAGGTCAGTGCAACAGTGTCCAGTGCCTTTAGCTAACACTATTAGCCTGGGGCAACTTGTCACAATTATTTAAGACTTGAGTGAGTGAGTGAGTGAGTTTAGCTTTGCGAGGCACTCAGCAATATTCCAGCTACAGTCAAGCACGGTTGTCTCGATATTCATGGGACCAAGAAAAAATATGGAGTTTTCCGAACATCCGACCAGGGCACCAGGTATATGGCAGCGGTATGTGAATAAGCGAGTCTGGGCCAGACAATCCAGTGATCAACAGCATGAGCATCGATCTACGCAATTGGGATACGATGACATATGTGTCTGACCACCCAATCCCGTAGGTCACCTCTTGCAAGCATGGGTTACTGAAGACCAATTCTAAACCGGATCTTCAAGGGTTAGTTCACTTTTGAAAGTATTTCCACATTCCACCTCCAGCCAATCTCAAACAGTGTGTCTTGCCTGGAGGTAAGAGCAACAATGCACAGTACCTGAGGCCAACTGTCGAGGGAGCAGCTTGTCCAATAATTTGAAGACTTGAACTTCTGCCATATCACTATATTGAATTATGTTGTGACAAGGTGATAACACCCTTGAGCTAAATTAGTTTAACTGTCGTTACTACCTACTGTCAGGGAATTGGAAAATAGATTACGGCTAGAAAATAATTAAACTATGACTTGTATCAGTATGTGTTAGAAATATCTCTGAATTAAAGTGAGCTCGCTTGTGAGTAAATATACTGGACAAAAATAGTTAGGGATATATGTAAATTTTAAAATTATAAATAGTGATCTATTTATTCATTGATACACTGATAAAATATCAACCATAAAATTAACAATATCCCTAACTTATTTTGTCCAGTATATATTAGAAGGAAACTTGTCATTTGTTTATGAAGGATATTTTTGAGGATGAACAAAGTTCTTGAATTTGTGCGTTGGGCAATAATTAATGGATGGGACGAGTCTGGCATTTGAACCCATGACAACATGTCTGACAACTTTGTCTTGAACCATTCCTTCTAGCCACTGCACGTAGATGTTGATTTGTACCACGTCCTGTGATCGAAATAGTGCTTAATTTGAGTGCCCTGGACCGGTAAATATTGAAATGGCACTGATGGAATATTTATGTGTGCCCTGGTGGCACGACTCAAATTATAAAAATAAAACACACCATGATATATTTTATGGAAAATGTGATAAATTTGACCAACTCAAATGATTAAAAATCTTTTTTTGCCCCCAATCATATGCTTGAAAATGGTATAAGAATCTGAACCGAAAAGTCGCCATTGTCAAAATAAGGAAGTTGATCATCCATAAAGTTTTGTCATCTCTGTACTTCTAGAATACCGCTGAAACAAAGCCTATCAAACTGTTTATCGGTGACACTCTATCTCATAGCGTAACGTGGGAGTGGCCATTTGCGAGGCCACTACGCATGGCAGGAAATCCCGTTTGTTTGATAGCATAGTTTATGGGTTAGTTTATGGGTCCAGGAGAAATGAAGCTGAACTATTCCGGTAGTCTGTCGTACAGACCCTGAAGTAAATATATCCAAGAAAGCCCACGCACGTCTAGAAAATGTGGAAAGTCTCAGGGCTCCTTTTCATCATTATTATTTTTTTTTTTTACTATGAACTTTTTTTCAGTAAAATATGTTCATTTCAG